TAATAGGAACTGGATTTACACTCCCACCTAAAACTGCTAAAAATATGGACAAAATAATACAAAAGGACAGTTTTCATGACACTGAACATCAGAAAATGGAAGATAGTGATTCCTGGGAGACAGGAAACAAATGACACAAGCCCTATGATTGCCGGAGTTTATTGCCTTGAGAGACTTTGCAGGCTGTGGTGCAGAGAGTGAGAATCCAGGAGGCACCCAACAAACTCCTGGAGTAGAGGTTATGGAGCTGAGAGTCTGAAGAGACCAAGGAGGCTAGACGTCATAGACAGAGTATCAGAAAGGAAAGGATTGCACAAAGACCTCCAGAGATCCTCCAAGGGGCCTTGTTACTGACTGACAAAAATGTATGTCAACTTGGCTAGGCCATGATTCCCAGTATTGTGTGGTTGTCTACCATTTTGTGATCTGATGTGATTATCCCATATGTTGTGAATCCTAACCTCTATGATGTTAATGAGGCAGGATTAGAGGCAGTTATATTAATGAAGCAGGACTAATCTACAGGATTAGGTTGTATCTTGAGTCAATCTCTTTTAAGATATGAAAGAGAGAATCAAGCAGAGGAGAGGAATCTCATGCCACCAGAAGAAGTGCCAAGAGCAGAGTGCCTCTTTTGTACCCAGGGTCCCAAGACTGAGAACCTCCTAGAGCTGGGGAAGATTGATGACAAGGACCTTCCCTCAGAGCCGACAGAGAGAAAGCCTTCCCCTGGAGCTGGTGCCCTGAATTTGGATTTCTAGCCTGCTAAACTGTGAGGGAATAAACTTCTGTTTGTTAAAGCCATTCACTTGTGGTATTTCTGTTATAGCAGCACTAGATAACTAAGACAGGCCTTCTTACCTATTGAGTAGAGTACCAAGTAGCACATGTATGTGAGAAACATACCCAAGCCGAAGGAGGGGGAAAAGAACCCCAAAAGGTTTAGAGGAGAAAGTACCTGGTGCTCACATGGGACTTGGAAAAAATGTCTTTTCCCACCAGGCAGACTGGGAAACCACATAAATCACGGGTATTGGGTAGAGTACCCAGAGGGGTCTTGCCTCATTGTTGTTGTTAGCTGCCGTCAAGTTGATTCTGCCTCATGGTGACCCCATGTATACAGAATAGAACTACTCCATAGGGATTTCAAGGCTGTGACCTTCAGAAGCAGATCATCAGGTCTTACTTTTGAAGAGCCTCTGGGTGGGTTTGAACCACCAACAGTTTGATTACTAGTACAGTGCTTAACCATTTGTGCTACCCAGGGACTCCCTTGCCTCAAGTGGGGAATAATTAGCCCTACACCAAACACTGCTTCAGACTTGCCTAACAAATTTTAAAAGCAAAATTTAAAAGGATCAAACTTCTTCCTGCTAACTTAACCACATCCCAGAAAAAAGATCAAGAATATTTATGAGAATATAAAAATATCTAGTACTCAACAAGGTCAAATTCACAGTATCTACCATCCAACCAATACCAGCATGCACAAAAGCTAAACATTATGACACATAATGAGGAGAAAAATCAGTCCATCAAAATTGACCCAGAACTGAAGCAGATGTTAGAATTAGCAGATAAGAACATTAAAATAGTTATTTTAACTCTATTCTTTATGTTCAAAAAGTTAACTTGAGACCTGAAAGATAATGAAAAATCTTACATCGAACTTCTAGAAAGGAAAATTATAATATCTAGATGAAAAATATACTGGATGTGATTAATGAAACATTCCCATACAGATTGCCATCAAAATGATTCCAGCTCATGTCGACCCTGTAGGACAGAGTAGAACTGGCCCATAGGGTTTCCAAAGCTATAGTCTTTACTGAAGCAGACTGCCACAGCTTTCTCCCATGGAGCAGCTGGTGGATTCGAACTGCCAACCTTTCACAGAGCTCTTTACCACTGCACCACCAGGACTCCTTAATAACAGATTAGATGTCAGAAAAGATGCAGCAATAGAAATTATCCAACATAAACAGAGAAAAAATAATTTAAATGAACAGTTGATCAATGAGCTGTGGAAAAGCTTCAAGTAGCTGAATTAATATACCTATAATTAGAGTCTCTGAAACAGTGACGTGGACAGAAAAAAAAAAAATTGAAAAATTAATGCTTGAAAGTTTCTCAAATTTGATGAAAACTGTTAAGTCACAGATCCAAGATTCTCAACAAACCCCAAGCACAAGAAACTTGAAGAAACTGCGCCAAATATCATAATCACATTGCTCAAAAGGAGTGAAAAAGAACATAAAAGTAGCAAAAAGAAAAAGATACGTTACACACAGGGGAATAAAGATAAGCATGACAGCAGTGTTCTCATTCTTATGGATTGAATTGTGTCCCCGAAACTGTGTGTCAACTTGGCTAGGCCATGATTCCCAGTATTCTGTGGTTGTCCACCATTTTGTGATCTGATATACTTTTCCTATGTGTTGTAAATCCTATCCTCTATGATGTTAATGAGGCAGGACTCAGTTTACAAGATTAGGTTGTACCTTGAGTCAGTCTCTTTTGAGATATGAAAAAGAGAATCAAGCAGAGAGGAGAGGGACCTTATTACCACCAAGCAAGAAGAGGCTGTAGCGGAGCGCGTCCTTTGGACTTGGGATCTCTGCACTGAGGAGCTCCTAGACCAGGGAAAGATTGATGACAAGGACCTGAGCTGACAAAGAGAGAAAGCCTTTCCTGGGAGTTGACACCCTGAATTCAGACTTCTAGCCTCCAAGACTGTGAGAGAATAAATTTCTGTTTGTTAAAGCCACCCACTAGTAATATTTCTGTTATAGCAACACTAGATAACTAAGACACTCATCAGAAATAAAATGCAAGTGAGGAAACAGTGGAGCAACATCTTTAAAGTACTGAAAGAAAAAGAAAAAAAGCTTAGCATTCTATACCCAGTGAAAATATTTTTTCAAATATGAAGTTAAAATAAAGACATTTTCAAACATGCAAAAGCTGAAAGGTTCATCACTGGTAGATCTAGAGTACAAATAATGTTAATGGAAGTCCTTCAGACAGAAAGAAAATGGTAACAGATGAAACCTGGACAACATAAAGGAATGAAGATCACCATAAATGGTAACTTCATGACCTTTTCTTTGGCCTTTTCTACTTACCTTCCCACATCCCATAAGTTGAAGCATAAAGGTGCTCCTAATTAAGCTTCAATTTTTGTAACAAGGAATATGTGCCAAGGTAAGGAGGTAGAACACAATGAAAAGTGGAACAGTGCTGCCTGACAATCAGGACCATTTACCTGGGAAATGTTACTGAGGGACAAATATTTTGGGGTTTTACTGGCACTGCAGATTGAACTTCAGCTTAATTAGTACAATTATTTTTAAAGTTTTACCTTATACAGAAAGATCTTTAATCCACTTGGAATTTTTTTCTGCATGAAGATATAATTAATCCAGAGCATTCTAGGAAAGGCCATTTTTTTCTTACCAATCTTAAATGCCAGCTCTGTCATATATTAAACACTTACATGCATGGAAGCCTTTGTGGGCTATCTGTTCTCTTCCATTAGTCTCTTTCTCTGTCTATGCACCAATATTATGGTATCCATGCACTAATTATGATATGTTCATACTAACATGATATCTGGTAGGGCAGATACTCTAATTTTTTTCTCCTTTCATAAATGTATTTTGGCTGATCCTGGCATACTGAGTTTCTAAATATTTGAATCAGTTTTTAAAAAGTAAATAAAGAGATTATTAGGAGCTACAGCTAGATCATCTTGGTTTGAAAATGTCTTATATATGTAGAATCTTCTAGTCCTATGACAACGGATGGTCTTAGAATGTCTTTTTATCATCACAACTATAGTGGCAAGAGCAGACATGTTAGTGAAGGGGTGACACTTTGACTTCCTAGGGAGGCTCTAGGGGCTTGATCTCCTCCATCTTTCCTATGGATTCTGCTAGAACTAAGACGTTCATCTCCCACTTGATTGTCATTAGCTTCAGTTATTTTGGTGTTTTGTTGTTGTTGTGTGCCATCAAGTCAATTCCAACTCATAGTGACCCTATAGGACAGAGTAAAACTGTCCCATAGGGTTTCCTAGGCTGTAATCTTTATGGGAGCAGATTACCAGGTCTTTTCTCCTGCAGACCTGCTGGTGGGTTTGAACCACTGACGTTTCAGTTAGCAGCCAAATGCTTAACCATTGCATCACCAGGGCTCCTTTTATTTTTTATTTATTTATTAATCTCTGTGTGTGTGTGTGTGTGTGTGTGTGTAGACTATGTCAATACAACTTCATTACTATGATCACTTTTAAATGTATATCAACTGCACACTGAGGGCTCCTTCAAGTCATGGACCAGATTAATCTTTATCAGTTTCTCAAAGAGTAAACGTACAGCTCTTAATTTACTTTTCAGTGTTTTCAAGCAACGCTTCTTGACTAACTCAAGGGTTCAGTTCTGTAACTCCATTTTAATACTGTGTTGGGCAACTCAGGCAATTTATTTAACATTCATCACTTACTATTAAGTGCCTACTTTGCTCCAGGTACTATAATAGGTGCTGAATATTCAGCAGTTAGGAAATAGATACAGATCCTTCTCTCATAGGAAAAACTAATGTTTAAATAAAATAAACAGAAATATAAATATATAATTTATAATTACATTTAATGCTATGAAGGGGGAAAATATGGTATTATGTAAGAATAACTAGAGGGACGTAATACATTTTCCCTGTATTAGAGCATATTATCATATACAAATGAAATCTGATTTTACTTTTATCATAACCAGATTTATGTAGGAAATTGAGCATAGGCTTTTTTCCTATAATTAATCCATGCATTCATTTACTCCACAACCTTCATGTACACTGAGTAGTATAATGGGCCAGATATTGGGCTCATAACAGAAACTCACAGTGTAACAGTTTACATAATTAGCAGTACCTCTCATTACAATAACTGCATAGCAAATGAAAACATAAATATATCCTTTTCCTTTTTTATTCTGTTTTAGATGAGGATAGGCATTCATTCGGGCTCTGTGCTGGCTGGAGTTGTTGGGGTAAGAATGCCACGATATTGCCTGTTTGGAAATAATGTCACTTTGGCAAGCAAATTCGAATCGGGAAGTCACCCTCGGCGCATCAATGTCAGCCCAACCACTTACCAGTAAGTGTTCTCTGCCCTCCTTCACCCTGTCTTTGACATTGCCTTGAGCTAATATCCTGTCATTTGTGAAACCCTGCTCCGTTTCTTGATTCTGTCATTCTCCAAGATATTATGAGTAGACCCACCCAGTCTGAAAGACAGTAATTGTGGCACAACTTTTATTTTCACCCTGAGAGAGTGCACAGAAAACCTGACTTGACTGAGAGGTAAATATAGGTTTGTCATTTCCCACAGTCTCTGTCCTTCTGAGACATACCTGTTCAAAATACAGGAGAGCAAATGCTAAGGATCTGCATTACACCTGAAATCCCAATATTTTCAAAATATTTCTCGTTTCTAAAAATTAAAGGAATGAGAAGGAAAAGGTAGTTTATCTCTGTTTTTGTTCTTTTGAATAATAAATACAAATAAGAACTCTCTAAAGTTAATTATATGTTAAGTACAGAGTAAAACTTCAAACTCTATTTATCCGAAAGGTCATATTTGACAACTGTACACATTTTTGTCCCTTCTCTAATCCTTATTTTGTGCCTGATAGATGTCATCTCCCTCGCTAGATACTAACCTTCATACGGGCAGGGACCATGTCTGTTCAGGCTCATCATTATATTCCCAGAATTTATAATAAATGTTTAGCACATAATAAACACTGTAAATATTAATTGAACGAATTCATAAGTGCATTGATAAATGAAACCTTTCCAGAATAAATGGCAGAGAACAGTGCAGAAATCTCTTACTCTGTCAGACTTTGGCTTCATGCTGGGCACTGGTGTCCAAGCTATTTAATTAGTGCCATGTTTTAGATAACTTAGAAACCGTAATTGAAAAATCCCATTGCCATCGAGCCAACTCCAACTCATAGTGACTCTATAGAAGAGTGGAACTGCCCCATAGGGTTTCCAAGGAGTGGCTGGTGGATTCAAACTACTGACCTTTTTGGTTAGCAGCTGAGCTCTTAACCACTACTCAACCAAGGCTCCATAATTGAAAAAGCCAGTCAAAATAGCGACCATTGTTATTTTTCATTGACTTCGCTACGAAAAGCTCCTAGGCAGAAAATTTAAATATAAAAATGACAAAAGTTGATTATAATAATAAATAAAATGGTGATATTTTGAAGCTTTTGATACCGTTTCTATATAGAGGGGAATGAAAGTCTTTTGGATGAAAGATAAGTAATTCCATATTCCCGGGGAACAAATGAGAAAGGGAACTGAAATTACAAATATAAAATCAAGTGAAAATTGAGGTTGAAAAAATATATTTTAAAGTTCCTGCTAACCTCATAAAAATAGTGAATACCTTGATCTCACCATTTTTAAACCAGACTTCTCTTCTTACATCTTGGAGGGAGCTCAGTAGATTTGGGGAGCCTGAGAAACAACCAGACTCTCAGGGGCCCATCATCTTTAGCTTAAAAGCTTGTCATTGAAGGTATTCATATGAGGGTTTTGCCTCTTTTTTAAAAATTTCTCCCAATTTTCCTAACGTAACTCTGGGTATATTGCAGATGATCTGACAATAATTGCCACATTACGTTAAATTTGGCAACGTCTGTAGATTAGTGATTCTGAGACTTTTTGCTGGAGACTGTAGGGTGAGGGAAAGATTTTGAATACCAATCCCCTTACTCATTTCCTCTTACCATGATTACAGTTTTTCCCATTGCAGTGCTAATTTTCCATATTTGTTAACATACTGTAGGTTTACATCTGCTGTGGAAACTCTACTTACAAATGAGGTGTAAGGAATGGACTAACTGTGTGAGAACTTCATGCTCGCAGGTTGTTGTTGTTGTTATGTGCTGTCTGGTCGATTCGGACTCATAGAGACCCTACAGGACAGAGTAGAACTGCCCCATAGGGTTTCCCAGGCTGTAATCTTTATGGGAACAGATCACCAGGTCTTTTTCCTGGGGAGCCACTGGTGGGTTTGAACCACTGACCTTCTGGTTAGTAAACCAGCACTTAACCATTGCTCAATCAGAGACATGATCATTGTATCTGTCTATTTACATGTGGCCAATAAAGGAAACTACCACAAATCACACAGAGTCTGTACATTTTGATACTGGTTCTGAGTTTTCATAATCTTTTCCATGTTAACTGTGTTTGCAATGGTCCTTGGTAATCAGTAATATCTGAAGAATTGAGTCATTTCAACCACTGTAACCATTGAAACATTTTGTTCTCTTATTGTCCTCCAAATATCAGATAAAGTCATAGGAAGACACGTTTAGCTGCCACGAGAATTGTCTAAAATATATTTTTCTCTGATTGGCCCTGTCTTAGTTATCTAACACTGTTATAACAGAAATACCACAAATGGATGGCTTTAATAAACAGAAATTTATTTTCTCACAGTTAGGAGGCTAGAAGTCCAAATTCAGGGAGCCGGTGGCTCTAGGGGAAGGCTTTCTCTCTCTGTAGGCTCTGGGGGAAGGTCCTTGTCTCTTCCCCTTGTTTCCTGGTTCTTAGGAGATCTCAGTGTGTCTAGGCATCAATCTTCCCCCATCTCTGCTTTGTTTGCTTGCTTGTTTAATCTCTTTTAGATCTCAAAAGAGATTGAATTAAAACACACCCTCACTAATCCTGTCTCATTAACATAACAAAGAAAACCCACTCCCAAATGGGATTATAACTGCAGGCATAGAGGTTAGGATTTATAATACATGTTTTTGGGGACACAATTCAATCCATAACAGGCCCCAAATCATGTGATTCCTACTAATATTTTATTGCAAGGTGCTTTGTTTTTTAATGGAAGCCTGGTGGCTCAGTAGTTAAGGCTTTGGCTGCTAACTAAAAGGTAAGCAGTTCGAATCCACCAGCCACTACTTAGAAACCCTATGGGGCAGTTCTACTCTGTCCTATAGGGTGGTTATGAGTCAGAATCAACTTGACAGCAATTGGGTTTTGGTTGTTTTTTAATGGCACCCCGAATTAAAATGGACATCAAAGTCATCAAGTCCAACCACTCTTCTGAAGCACCGGAGAAAAGTTGAAATAGCAAAAGGTTCGGACTTTAGGACCTCAAAATTCAGCCATGCTTTCCATCATTTAAATGGAGAAAATAATACTCCATTTATTCTCTATTCTACAACCTTGATGAAAATAAAAATTCAATTTGCAATAGATCTTAAAAAAGTAAGTACCTGGGAATAAATTTAACCAAGTAGATGAAAGACTTGTGCACAGAAAACTATAAAACTTTGCTGAAAGAAATTAAAGAAACTCTAAATAAATTTAAAAAGACATCCTGTGTTCATGGATGAAAAGATTTATTATTATTAAGATGTCAAGACTACCCAAAGTTATCTATAGATTCAACACAATCCCTATCAAAATTCCAACAGCCTTTATTTCCCCCAGAAATAGAAAGCCAACCAAATAGCCAAAACAATCTTGAAAAAAGGAGAACAAAGTAGGAGGACCCTTGCTTCCCGATCTCAAAATAAACTATAAATCTACAGTAATCAAAACAGTGTGGTACTGGTATAAGGATAGATATATAGAACAATGGAATAAAATTGAAAGTCTAAAAATAAATCCGTACATCTATGGGGTCACTATGAGTCGAAATTGACTCGACGGCAATGGGTTTGGTTTTTATGGTCAGTTGATTTTCAGCAAGGTACCAAGTCACATTCAACAGAGAAAGAATAGTTCCTTCAATAGATGGTGCTGGAACAACTGAATCTCCACATGGAAAAGAATGAAGTTAAACCTTTACCTGAATTAACTCAGAATGGATCAAAGACCTAAATATAAGAACTAAAACCATAAACCTCTTAGGGTTAAAACTTCAGGACCTAGTTTTTAACACTGGATTTTTAAATATGACACCAAAAATGTGAGCAACGAAAGAGAAAATACATACATTGGACCTCATCAAAATTTAAAATGTGCATCAGAGCGCTTTAACAAGAAAGAGACAACCTACTGAATGGGAGAAAATGTTTGGCAGTCATATATCTGATAAGGGTTTAATATCAAGACTATATAAAGAATACCTACAACTCAACAACAACAAAAAGACAAACAACCCAATTTAAAAAATGGGCAAAGAACTTGAATAGACATTTCTCCAAAGAGAATTTACAAATGACCAACAAGCATATGAAAAGATACTCTACATAATTAGTCATTACCACCCATTGCCATTGAATCGCTTCTAACTCATAGTAACCCTATAGGACAAAGTAGTACTGCCCCACAGGGTTTCCACCGCTATGGAAAACAGTTCCTCAAAAAGTTAAACAGAGAATTACCATGACTCCCAGGTATATACCCAAAAGAATTGAAAGCAGGTACTCAAACAGGTACTTGTACACCAATGTTTATTGCAGCATTATTCACAATAGCCAATAGGTGGAAACAACTTGTGTCCATCAACAGATGAATGGGTAAGCAAAATGAGTATATCCATACAATAGAATATCATTCAGCCATAAAGAGGAATGAAGTTCTGATACATGCAATGACGTGGATGAACCTTGAAAACATGCTGAGTGAAATAAGTCAAACACAAAAGGATAAATATATGATCCCACTTACATGAAATATTTAGAATAGGCAAATGCATAGAGACAAAGTTTTTAGTGGTTACCATGGTCTGTAGGGGAGGGGAAAATGGGGAGTTATTGTCTAAAGGACACTGAGTTTCTGTTTAGGTTGGTGAAAAGCTTTTGGAAATGGATAATGATGATGGTTGTGTAACATGGTGAATGTAAGTAATGTCACTGTGTAGTTAAAAATAGTTAAAATGGCAAATGTTTTGTTATATATATTTTACTACAATGAATTTTTTTTTTTAATGATTAAAAAAAGCACCTTGGCTCCTGGGAAGTCTCTAGAAACTTCAATTCAGGCATATGATCGTACTGTGGCTAAGTTTTCAGATACTGACTCTGTGTCTAAGTAGTTCTGCTGGTTTCTTTTATTCAAGTTTATATGGTTCAGCCACGTGTAATTCTTCTGTTCTACAAACTGTACAGT